GTTTTATCCTCACGTTCTTGTTTATCGAGTTCCTCTTGTGATTTTATTTATTTGTAGTTGTGTTTTTATTTTCAGTGCAGAACCTTGGCCGTCCGTACTGGCTGACTCTGTCTCCCATGTACCTGTGGATGTTGGTTTTCTTCACTCGACCTCACAAAGAAGAACGTTTCCTCTTTCCCATCTACCCACTCATCTGCCTCAGCGGGGCCGTGGCGCTCTCCTCTCTGCAGGTCGATACGCAGGTCTTATTTTCTGTCGCCCGTGTTCGTTGTTTAAAAACCAGCTAAAACTAATCTGATCTTCACAGAAATGCTACCACTTCCTGTTCCAGCGTTACCGGCTGGAGCACTACACCATCTCGTCCAACTGGTTGGCTTTGAGCGCCGTTGCGGTCTTTGCGGTGTTGTCTCTGTCTCGCTCCGTCGCCCTCTTCAGAGGTGCGTGTCCAGACCGACAGGCCGCTATAAATCAAATCTCTTTATATTTATGTATACATTAACTCTGCGTTTACAGGCTACCACGCTCCTCTAGACRTGTACCCAGAGTTTCACCGCATCGCCAAAGATCCCGCTCTGCACTCAGTCCCTGACGGCAGACCGGTCAGCGTGTGTGTCGGCAAAGAGTGGTACCGCTTCCCGAGCAGCTTCCTCCTGCCACACAAGTCAGTGTCCATGATGCAGGTTTCGTAATGTGGTTTGTAAACCTGACTGCCGCTATGGCAGCATTTTTTTTAGAGTTTTGAAAGGAATCTGTTAAGTTTGCACATAAAGAAAGCAAAACAGAACAGCAAAAACCACAAAACAATGTTGCTAAGTAGGAGGTTAAACATTTGGTTTAGAAAGAATAAAGTGTAGTAAAGAAATTGTTGAGCAAAATGTGTATTTATGCATGTTTAATGTGAAATTTTTAACCCCAAAATTCATCCATAAAGTAGGAGGTTCACTGAAGTTCATTTTCATTGATTTTTTTTGCTAAAATAATACCACAGCAAATATCAATATTTTCATTTTGTGTCGCTGTCCCAACATCAATATTAGTTGCTAAAAATGTGACAGAAAATACTGAAGGTAATGGGATTTCAGACCTTTGGTGTTCTGTTATTAATCTGATTGATATTTTTGGCAAAGACTTTGCATTTTTAATGAAGCAAGACATAAAATTGTATAAATTCAGCAGACTTTCTGAAAAGTGGGATCATCACAATACAGTATATGTTACATGTGAACTCATTGTGTGTCTCTAAGTCCATTTTTCTTCTTCTAGTTGGCAGCTGCAGTTCATTCAGTCGGAGTTTAAGGGCCAGCTTCCTCAGCCGTTTGCCTCAGGACCTCTGGCCACACAGATCATCCCGGCTCATATGAACGACCAGAACCTGGAGGAGCCAACCAGATATGTCCGTAACCCAGGGAACAAAAAAAAAAAAAAACAAACAAACATGCTGCTGCAGTTTTAAACAGAACACTGAATTGTTTTTTTTTTTTTTTTTTTTTGTGCAGGTAGATGTAAAACATTGCCACTACCTGGTGGACCTCGAGACGGACGAGGAGACGCCACTTGAGCCGCGCTACTCAGCTAACAAAGAGGACTGGAGCGTCATCGCCTTTAAGCCTTTCCTTCAAACATCAAGGTTTTTTTTTTTTACAAATATACATCTGGATGTTTTCAAAAGGAGATGCATTTTTTTTAAATAACATATTTTTACATTTTTTGCTTTAGATCCTCTCCTCTCTTCAGAGCYTTCTACGTCCCGTTTTTATCAGACCATCACACCACCTACAGGCGGTACGTAATCTTAAAACCGAGGAGGCAAAAGCTGCCTCGTAAGCGGACCCACGGCTGATGTTTGAACTCCAACCTTCTCCTCCCTTGCCAACAAAAAAAAAATAATAATAATCTGAATCCTTAACAAAAGGAGTGGATCACATTAAACTGCTGGTATTTGTGTGTCAGCCTGCATGTGAAGAAATCTCTAAAGGACGATATGTCTGCTTCTGGGGGCTGTGTTCATGAGAAGAGAAAATGTGTGATTGGTATTCATCAGCTGGGTGTTTTTATTTCTTTGTTAGTTTCTTTTTTTTACTTTTTGTGTAAATGATGTCTTAAAAAGGCCCACTACAGGAGTTTACTCTAATTTAACCTTTAAAAGGCAGACACTCACAAATCCAAGTGTTTTCTTTTTATGTCGTACTTTAAATCTAGGCCTAAATGGAGGAATTCCTTTAATTTGATCAAAGGGGTCCTGTAAGGTCCAGGCATGAATGAGGGGTGAATGAGAAAGAAAGTGACTAATTTAACTTGAAATGTGAATAAAAACATGATTGACTGCCATAATAACACTGCTGTTTTCTTTTTTCTTAAAAAGAAAAACACTCCGGCTTTAATTTTTATCTCGTTTTATTTGAATTCGTAACAAACATACAAACAAATCTCACATCATAGCATTGTACATTCAGAGTAAATAACTTGGCATTCCCTTCAAACCCATGCCGAGATCTGTGGTGAGGCTGCAGGCACTGGAGACGAGAATACTACACGAGCCACACTAGTTTTTATGGATTTTTGTTTGAATATCTTCCTTAGAAGACTGAAAATCTGCGAAAAAATATCAGAAGTTAATCACGTTTGACACAAGTTTCAGTTTAAGGCAGGTTTGAAATGTACTTTTTAAAAAAATACCAAGTTTATTTAGTTTATTCTGAGATTAGGGTGTGATTAAAAATACATTTTAATGATTGCTAACTAAAAAAACTGATCTGAGCAGCACAGCATGACCATGCAAACAACACACACACTTCTGTGTTTTAGCTTTTGAAGCTGCAGATGTGTCAGATTCATATCTTGGTTGTGTCTTTTTCCAAAGCAGCCCAGAAAAGMCCAAGTCATGGTGGGATATACAGGTCCTGAGAGATCTTTATATCTGAAGGCCCTCTCATATGGAGGATCATTGTGTAAACAAAACAACAGTTTAGATTTCTATGATCATACTGTCCAAATATTTAGAAAAAAGATCCAATATAAAGAAGATTAAAAGTCATGCAGCTAATGCTTCTTATTTCATGCACTGAAACGATGCCAAAGCTACAGTCGACACAAATTTMTGTGATGTTGGTATGAAGTTGTGCAGCCAACATCCAGATAAAAAGAGCAGCAGACTACGCCACAAACCGGTTCACTGCAGTCTGACTTCACCTCAGATTCTATTCATCTTATTTTAATCCTAAATGACCCTGACGTCTGTTGGAGGGTTTTAAGTAGTCCCTGATAGTGCTTGTCTGGTTCCACCATGAATATATTCCAGTGATTTCATTTGCCCAGTTTTAAACATTAATATTTAATATCACCGCCTCAACCAGCAATGTAATAAAAAGTCTAAACTCAGTGCTCAAAAATCCATAAACTGTCATTAGAGAGGAGTTAAAGTAAAAACATTTGACCTGAATCATTTAGAATAACCTGAATATTGTTGTTTTTAAAACACTGTTTTATTGTTTAAATTATAAATATGTATATATTATGTTGTCAACTAAGTTATGATTCACTGACTCTATACATGGTTGAAGGTTTTACTGAGTCACATCCCAAATTCTAAAGGGATAGTTCAGATCTTTGAAGCGGGTTTCTGTGAAAAGTTATAAACAGTATTTTACCTGTTATGGATAGTTTTTTGAGCGACAGTTTGGAGAGATCATTTAATTTTGGATGCAATTGATTTTGTTATTTAATTTCTAAATTGGCAGCAGCTAATTTTAGCATTTCTGGTGCAGTAATAATATATATATTTTTGGAATAATGGTCCTAATAAACATACAATAATTTAAAGGTTAATAAAATAGCACTTACATAAACCAACATGATTTATTTTTTTTTTATAATTTGATTCATTTTAAGATGTGGACTAACTACTTTTGTCTTGTCCTCCTCAAAGGCAGCTCATCAATTTAATCAGAAATAAATTCAATTTCCCCAAGCTGAGGTCGTTCAAAAAGCTATCTACAACAGGTAAGATATTAACTATTCAAAAATATTTTCCACAGAACCTCACTTCAAAARATTTGACTTCTGTTAAGCAAATCAAACAATGATTTATTTAAACAAACAGAAATGTCCGTGGTGGGCACAGCTAAGTTAGCTTTGCTGACTCATTCGCTAACCAAAAATATAACTTTGTCGATGCTAAATTGCTAAACGTAAATATAAAATAAAACAACGGTAACCCTAAAAAAGTTAAAATTAGCAGTGGCTAAAAATAGTTCAGCTGTTAGCTGATTGGCGGAACCATGGCCACAGCTACTTATAGGTAATTATGATGGTTCTTTAGTTTGGGGTTTGTAAACATTGTCTTAAAACACCACAGTTCAAAATTCAAACTCAAACTGCTAAGAAGGTACGAGCTAGCTAAGCAAAAATATAATAATAATAATCCTAAATCTCTTATTTTTAACACACGCATGCAGAATCAGTGGCATCAGTAGTTTTCTCTGTTTATCCAGTCCTGCTCATTGAAGTACCTCCTTCCACCGTCGAGGTTCAGGCCGTTCCTGTAGTAGTCCAGGTTTGTGTGGAAGGACTTCCTGTTTGCGTAAGTTCCCAGTGTGGATTGAAACGTGTCGTGCTTACCGTTGGTGGCGTACGTCTGATAGAGGTTGACCTTTTCTGTTTGACCTACGGGTTTGAGTGTGGTGTCGTAGAGGTCAGGCCCCGCCCGGATGCTGCTGTCGTACAGATGGTGGTCTGCGTACACGCTTCCGCTGTAATGCTCACTTTTGGTGGTGCGGCGACCCAGACTCCTGTCATAAAACTCCCTGTTCCTGCTGCGGCCCAGGCTGCTGTCGTTCAGCTCTCTCTTCCCCGAGCGGCCCAGGCTGCTGTCGTAGAAGTCCCGGGTGCCCCGGCGCCCGAGGCTGAGCTCGTTGAGGTCACAGTTGAGGAAGCCGCTCTCCGTGCTCGCCAGCGTCGCAAAGCCGCTCTCTGTGTCCCGAGCGCCCAGGTTGTCYTAGTCACCTGTCGGGGTGTCTGTGTCCGGGGAGGAGCACAGGAAAGAGGTGTTTTTGGTTTGAGGGCGAGCTGAAACCAGGTCGTCGTCCTTCTGGGAGTGGATGACGTTGTAGACGTCGGTCGATGGACTGGGACCGAGCCCAGGTTCTGTTTGACATACTTCTGATTTGTGTTCTTTCCTCCTCCTGTTTCACAACACAAACAGCAGAACACCTAAAGTTACACCATGAAATGAAAACTAAACCCTATAACTGTTTGCCTGTCTGTTGGACGCACATCTCCAGCAGATATGGAGTTAGAGTGTGGTGAGGTAGTAGCTGAGGGTCATTCCTGACACTCTAAGCACTGCAGATTGTACAAGAGCTTGTTTTGAAAAAACTTTAGCATTCAAGGATTGCTGCTTTCAGTAAAACTGCGGTATCCAGCACCCAATCATAAAAGCCCATTGCTGCCACTCTGAAAAAAATAAAGATCTTCCATACAATAATTACAAGCTCATAATGACAATCTACTCTTGTTGTTAGGACTTAGCATCTCAGAATTATACTAACACATAATGACAGCATCTAATATTGAGACACTATCGCAAAGTTTTACCTTTTCCTGTCTCGTAATGAGACAACATTTCATAATTCTGTCTCAGTATTTCATATTTGTGGGAACTAAAGTGACTGTTCTGAGATATTACCTCTATTATAAGATGAGATAAATGTAGGAGATGCTAAGTCTTAATTGTGGGATATCTAAATTTGTCTCAGAGGGCTTCCATACATTGGAATAACACAAAAAAATAAGTTGAATGCCACTGACAAGAAGGAAAGGTTGACATGGTTGTGCGTAACATTTTCAAAAGAATATTGCCAGAAAATAAGATTTCACAATAAAAGACTCATCGTTTTTTAAACATTTTAAAAACCAAGTTGAATAATTAAATTTTAATAATATGGATTCCTTCTTAAAGCAGCTTTTCTTAGTTTTCTCACCGTTGGAGCAGCAGTTTGAAGCAGCAGACTCCCAGCACTGTCAGCAGCAGCAGTATGAGTGGGATAGTGGGAATGATGACGTAAACCAAATTCACGGCTACAAAACAAAGATAAAGGTTAAACATCTGGAATTAGACTATCTTGAAAGATTTCAGTAAAATGTGATGTTTGAACGACCTGCTCTTTTGTTCTGGTTGTGGTCCCTCGGATCCCACGGAAGCACAGATGGAAAGAAGACGTCTGAAATGAAAGACTTTCTTTACTCGTTCTTCAAAATACCAGAAGTGTCCGATGAGGCGAGCTGTGCGCTGCTACCTGACCGTGTGAAGTTACCTGTTTGAGTGGAGTTGGGAGGTGAGGTTGGGTCCAACTGTTTCTCTGGAGAGAAAAACAATATTTCATTTAACAACATTCAGTTAGGTTTTTCTTTTCTTTAAAGGTGGCTGTACCTGCAGCGTATTTGCAGATGAAATTGTTCTTGGTTTCACAGTTGTCGTCGTTCCATTGAAACATGTAGAGACCTCCCTGTCCAGCGGGGGCAGATGGTTGATGGTACATTACAACACACACTTCGTAGCCACATGATGGCTCGTCCATATGCCAGTTCCTAAAACACACAAGTGCAGAACACACACACACACTTCTTTTTCAGAGCTCCGTGGGAAAACTCAAAAATGTATTCTTGTGTGGTACATAGAGGTGTAAAAGAACAACCCCAAAGATGTGTGGCTGTAGCAGCTGCTGATATTAAACTGTCAGATAAGAACTACAGAAACAATATACAGGAAAAATATTCACTGTTAAAAGATCAGCTGCTGCTTTAGTCAACGTTTTGTGTGTTTATAAACTGGTGGATTTAATTTAGATCACGTATGTTTATGCTTTAACTACAAAGTTTGAGTCTTACTGAAAAAGAACATTTAAAATTCATGAACATTTCACATTTCATATAAAATAGTAAAACTATAATATAAAAACAAGTTTTAGATTTAGGTTATTCCCAGTGGTGGGCACAGCTAAACATTAACTCATCTGCAAATGTAGCTTTGCTAACGCTAAGCTATTACACATGTAAAAAAAAATTAGTTTCGCTATTAGCTTATTAGTGGAACCATTCCCATCACTGCTTATATTATATTTATTATATTATATATATACTACGTATATCTAAATGAGCTTTTGGATTTTTAATGTTGAACTTTTTTTCCAAGAAAATCCAGGATATGAACTATAATAATCAGTTGTCTGGGAGTGACCTTTCACCCCTGGACCCTCCCTCATGTCCCACCTAAACGTGGACTTGCTGCCGTCCAGCCAGTAGTACTGAGAAGAGCAGTCCGAGTTGCTGTCCTCATGTTCGTGGTTGCGCCGCAGCCCTATCCAGAAGTCTCCGTCTGTGGGGCGGAGCTCGGTGATGAGCTGCTCTATGACCTTCTGCTCGGACGCAGACCTGATGCTCAGCAGGTGACCCCCGTCTCGCCTGCAGGCCAGCTCGGCCTCGGCGAAGTTCAGCTTCCGACGGAGCTCGGAGAAATAGGCCAGCTTGTAGCAGGGCTTCCCTTTCCCTGCCCTGCACACGCGTTGGCCTGAACACACACACAGGTTTACTCATAAGCTGCCGGCTCATTATAAAAGTCCAACAAATCTTCACCAAGTTTTCTTCCCAGTTCCTTAGTAATAAATCATTGCTTGATTATTTTGAGAATAATGAAGATTTTACATTCAGTTAGGAAAAGTGAACTACATACCTCTGGCTTCAAATAAGTCTGCTTTAGGAGCCCAAGGTCCAGCGGGGAGTCAGGATGTGAGGTGGTGAGGAAAGACATCCATAATTAAATCAAGAGTTCCCCATCTGTCCTGTGTCGCCGTGCTTTTGTGCAGAACTTACCTGTAATGAGACTGGTGGCTGCAGATGGATGAAAACTTACGAACAGAAGGAGACAGGGAATCACCAGCAGGTCCATCTTCTTTAGCTGCCGGCTGTTTACCACAAAACTTTGAATTTTAGTTTAGTCTTTCTCATTTTGTCCATCCAACGGGTAAAACCAGGTCCTTTAGGAGCTATAAAAGATGAGCAGCAACCCCGCGTTGTGCCTGAAGGAGAGGTTTTGTGATCTAGAAGGAGGAGCGGGGAAGATGAGGAGTAAAAGCGGAGCATGTTTGGGAGGAGGGGGGCTGTAATCTGTTAAGAGCAGTCCTAATGTTAAGAGAAGAGGCTGCATCGATCGCAGGACATCTAATCACCCGAGTGCTTCTCATCGTAAACGCTGACAAGAGGCAGATTTCACTCATTCCTTTATTACTTAAGCTTTTGGTATTATCGTTACAAAAGTGTTACATGAAAATGATCTGGTCTAATTTGATCAGGGATCATTTAAAACATTTTTTCTCAGGTCCTCACTGCAGCGTTCTCATTTGAAGCTGAACAATGAACAGTTACCAGATCAGCTCTTTCCTCTAGTATCCAGATCAAAGGTGAACTTTTAAAGATGAAACTCCTGATGCATATTCGTAGAAAGGAAAAAAATAAGTTTAGAATATATATATATATATAAACCTAACTACACTTACAGTAAGTCTAGTTAGAGTTATCATCCTAATGTGGTGAGACATGATGACTTCACCTTTTCTCATTAGTTTCACTTCAAATCAATAAGAAGCATTAAGGAAACAGTGCAAAAATGTGAAATTGCTCTTTGTCTGCATTTTAATTTTTTCATTCTCTTTTTATAAACAGAAAATGGGGATTGGACTAAAAGCAGAATTACATATTTTATAAAAAAAAAACGATCATCTTATACTAAGTGGTGGAGTTTCAGCCTTTTTTGTTGTTTAAAATGTGTTGAGAATGACTCTCAGCCAACTCAGTATCTGTAAAACTCAGGATCTGTTTCTTTCTCACAAAGGATTGTGAGTGACTGCAGCCAGACGTTTCTCTTTGCCAACATGGATAGGATTTATTTGACAGCACTCAAGAAACTGATCAATACCCAGAACAAGGGAAAAGTTCTAGGAATGCAGTGACAATGTAAAAATGAGAACTGGATTTACACAAGTTGGGAAATTATTTTGCAGCCATTTCTAAACAGTCTTTGATTTTTTTAAAGATAATCTCAAACAATTACATATAAGAAGGTGTTCATAATTATGCCAGAGCAGCAGCCAGGAGTGGGCCAGATCTGGTGTAAAGCTGGCAGCTGTGGGCAGTGATGGCATTATTTTTAAGATGGCATGCCACAAATGGGCCAGTTGTGGTTTGATTTATATGGTTCTGGCCCATGCACATGTCACCAAAGGGATGTCACTCTTTTCGGTTTTAGAGCTTAGGTGGGCCAGAACTGGACCACACAAATTTGATTTACACTAATCCAGGCATTTTGTCACAGTTATATCCAAAGCAAGCAAAGCACAATTACGTTTGGGTCTCTTTAAAGGAAAGCTGATGCTGGAATTTCTGGACAGTAAATGCAAAATCTTTTCAAATATTTTGCGTTTACTTCATATTCAAGCAGCAGGATCAGCAGAAGCCACAGACTTGATGTTTGTGACCTTTTTTTTTTGTAGAGCTCAAAAGAGGGGGGAAAAGTGTATGTATGCAGTTCCTAATGGTAGCAATTTCTGAAATGGCCCATAAGGTTGATTTAAGGCTTGCAGTGAGACAGATCAGCCCGAGTTTAAACAGCAGGATGCTTCGTGGAGAATATGCTGCGTGTGCTTTTGCTGAATAGGGAGCGAGGGATGAGAGAGCCTCCTTAAGCATGCTGATCTATCCAAACACCACTAATCAGTTTAGGTGTAGATTGATTTCAGTGAAAGACGGGGTTCAGCTTTGTTTAAATTGAAGGAGGATGAGCCCATGGCATTATGGTGGCACTCCGAGCCATTGAAGAGAAGACTGAGAGGTTAGTGAACCCTCTGGAGGGGCTCCATGAGCAGGAGGCCTTGGTTTCCATTTCCTCCATGTTTACGGCATCTGAGCTCAAGAGAAGCTTTCATTCAATTAAACTTCTCCGATTCGTCCCTCCTCTTACACAGTCTGTCTTCTTCTGCCTCTGCCTCCTCCCTCTCTCCCAATTAGTGAAGGGAAAACCAGATGAATGCTCCCACGGGAAAAACAGACCACACACACATTTGCACACAAAAGCAGTGGTTCACCATTAACGGTGGAAATTTACCACTGTTCTGTGAAGCTGCAGCCAATATGCATTAGGACAGAGCTTTGCTAAGTGTAATATTTTATTGAAAGCTGAAAGCCGGATAGTTATATGATAAAATGAAATCATTTAAAGCCATAAAAAACAGCCTCTGACCACAAGCGTCTTTCACAATGTAATGGCCTTGTTTGTGTCAAGGCTGCAGATAAACAACAAGTGACAAATTTAGTCCCTTGTCATCTTCAAGCCAGAAAGAGAAAGAGAAAACTTAATTAGCCCAAAGAATAACTCTCTGGTAAATTCAATTTGAACGATCTGAGTTTGGCCCGCAGCCACAGAGAGAGTTGTCCGCATTGCGTACGTCTGCACAGGGAGCTGGAAACGGGCCTCGAGTCACTGACCCTGTGAGGGAGAGCAGCACAGCTTTATCAGCAGAGCTGAGCGGCCATAAAAGAGCTTTGATGAAACCTTTTAAGGGTTGAAATAAATTTTTAAGCCTGTTTTTATGCGTTCTTTGGAAAAGGTTTAAGAAAGACAAAATGCTTAATAACCGGGGACACTGAATCCAAAGACTGGGTCAATAAGTTCTGATGTGTAACTGTGTGGCTTGAATTTTTTATCTTATATTTATTGCAGATAAAGATTTTAAATTGTAGTGTTTCAGCAATAACACCCCCCTCCCCCCATCACTTTTAATAAGAAACTAATTCTTAATGTGTCTTAAAACAGTGGTTCTCAACCTTTTTAGACTTGTGTACCCCCTGGGRCATTTTGTCATWCCACTGGTACCCCTTCAGTCAAACATAATGATGATTCTCCAAAACTATAATGTACTACAACTGATCATTTTTTAACCCCCTAGAACATTTAATTTTCAGGCATTTTATTTTTTCAACTCAAACATAAAGATAAATGTGTTGCCTTGAAAGTGAATAAGTAATTAAATACATAAACCAGGCAGTATCAGGTGCAGAAAACAGCAGCATCCGAAATACATCAAAAACTCCCCCAAATGAGCAAATTCTGTGAGATTCCACGTTTTATACTGGATTCCATTTTGTGTTAATTCCATGATACCAATTGGAATTTCCACATTGTGGAAATCATAGGGCCCTACATGTCTCAGTCCTATTTTTATTTATTTATTTTATTTTTTACACACCTGGGAAATTTTTCCACTCACCCACTGTAATATGCTTTTGTACCCCTGGTTGGGAATCTCTGCTTTAGACAGTGTGAAGGCCTGAAGGAACTGTCCAAGGTCCTGAAAGTACTGGAATGTTTCAGCACTTAAAGAGTTGGTGGTGGGTTATTAAAACCTACTTTTTTGAGCTGTATATCATGTTATAAAGTCATTCCTCCATCAAAAACATACCCTGTGTTGCTTTGACTCATTCATACATGTTTGAGAAATCCTTGAAGCTCCTGTAGCCATGTAGAGCTGCCTAAACACTGTTAGTACAATGCTCCAACTTTTAACATAAAGCTCCTCCCTATAGAGCGCATCCAAGCTCTTGCTCCACAGAGCACCCCACCCCACAAAGCATTGTTGTGAAGAAATGCTTAAATGGGAATGTCTGAAACAGTGAGGAGGTTCTGCATGCCAACAAAACTAGCAAGTAAAAGTAAAGGATGCCTCTTGGGGAACCAGCCAGGCCACCTACAAACACCACCTAATGATCCCACCTCAACCCAACCCCCCTGCCAACCACCACTTTTATGGTGGTTGGGTGGAGCAGGTAAGGCTCAGGAGGACCCTGACACCACACCAAGCATGAGTGGGGTCATATGGACCCTACAAAGACWGCGGGAGACAAAAGCCCAATTTCAAGGTGTTTAGATAGGCTTTGATGCAAAGACAAACGTGTATATATTATAATATATATATAATTTTTATAATAACTTAATAATATATAATAATTTTTATAATAACTAAAGATTTACTTTATCATGGTATGGAATGGAGCTATGTGCCTAGAAAATACATTATACCTCACATTAAAAACTTGAATTATAAGTTTTGTTTTAACAGATCAGCAGAGGGGGGCATGGTTCCACTAATCAGCTAATCGCGTAACAATTTTTTGGTTTACAATTTGATATCAGTCTTGTTTGTATTTACACACCTTAGTGTTGGATATTTTTGATTAGCTGTGGCGAAAATCTTGAACAGAATTGGCTCCAGAAGTTAATCAGTTGTAGACGAAGAGCCTGATCACATGATCTGAGTAAACACATGACTAACTGAGGTACTGTCAGTAATCTTCCCTGAACTGGAGCAAAACTGGTTTAAAGGCACAGTGTGTAGGATTTTTTGTTTTCAGCGACATCTAGTGGTTGAGTGGTTGAATCATCCTCCCCCCACCCCCACCCCCCGCTTCCAAACGTAAAGGAGTTGCTACGGTGTCTCTCAGGTGTCAAAAACCTTTGATAATTCCAACCGCGATGTCTACCAGCAGCTTCAGGGCTAGTGATGTTTCAAGTGGTAAGATTATGAGCTTTAATAAGTAAAATTATCCCAGCTATGTTTACATGCACAAAATGTTTTAATCGGATTGAAATGTATTCAGATTAAATAATCCAAATGTACTCTTTACATGGACACAATCCGATCGTGAAAAGTGTTTACATGCACCGGAGTTTTATTCAGAATAAAAGTCCGGACATGTGCAGTGTTGTAAACGTTCAGCTCTACTTKCGTGTTACAAACATAAACAAAGCTCCTCTGTGCGCTCAGGACGGACCCATGTCAGCTTTTAATAACGGTAGAGACGTCATTACTCCTCGGTTGAGCTGCAGCCTGCAGATGAAGCAATACATGCTTTTTATTTTTATTTTTTGCGAAGCAACGTCTGCTGTTTGCCTCCTTTTTCATCTGTTAAGAGAGTGAGGAGGAAAAGTTCTGCACGATGCTGCGCAGCTGGAGCGCTGCTGCCCCACCTCCAGAACCGGGTGAATGAAAGTCAGCAGACCTGCACACACAGGTCAGTTTTCTACAATCAGAATAAGATGATCCGATTAAGTGTTTACATGAACCTCATTCCGATTATCAATCGGCATAACCCACCCTTTTCATTCGGATTAAAAATTCATTCGGATCGAGCTCAGTCGGATCAGAATAATCGGAACGGGCTGTTTACATGACACATTTTTATTCCGAACGGCTGTTTAATCCGATTACTTTTGTCCATGTAAACGTAGCTAATGACAGACAACAAATATTACATTTATAGTATTACAACTAAAACCGTTTTTGATGCCGCCACCGCAGTTTGTCCTTCATGAGCCTTTGTAGACAAGATGGCGGTGCAAGATGGCGGCTGCCTGTGTGGCGACCCACGACCATGGAGATATAAACAGCTTTTTATAAGGAAAAAATAATAAAACAAGGTCTTTGTCTGCAATGATTAGACATGTTTTTTTATTATTGTCATTAGTGATTATCTCAATTTCGGCTAAAAGGATTGACAAAATCCTACACACTGTGCCTTTAATATCTGGGTCACAGCAGTAAATAATTATTTTATCATTTTATTTTCGTTGGACCAGATTTATTGAGCTTGTGGGCCAGCTATGGCCCAGTGGCCAGCAGTTGATGATTAACAATTTAAAATATTTCTTTGACAAAATGTCAATGTGTGTTAGTCAAATAATATAAATGAAAATATTCCATATTGTAGTTTCCAGTAAATCAGAAAAGTTTTATTGATTTTCTTTCACCCAATTTTTTAATTTTATTTATTTATTTATTTATTTATTTATTTATTTAGTTATTTATTTAACAGTGCAGGAGTTTCTTGGTAAAATCTACAACATAATCAGTATATTTTTCAGTGTTAATAACTTGTTTTTTTCCCCTACATTTTGTTTAATCCTCAGAGAAACCTTTGGTGTTTTGCTTCATGCAGGCGAGTTGTTGATTCTTCCCTCCGGTTCATGAGAGGACTCCAACATTTGTGGTCATTTACAGGAACTGGTGTTTGTTTACCAGTTTGTTTTGGCAAGTTTGGACTTATGTAAGAATATCTGATTAGCAGTAACTTTAACTTTGTGCATCAGATGGCTACGAAGAGGAAACAAACGGCAAAGAGAATTTCATGCATTATCCTGTGAAATGAAATCAGATTTAGGGGAAATTTTTAAATATTTATTTCCATCCAGTTTTTATTAATTTATTTTTAATAAACATGACAATAACAAAAAATATCGGCAGCAGTTCAGGCAGCTGAATAGTAAAAACTGAAAAGCAGCTGAATTAAATAGAAAGAGTCCACTTTATTAAAAGCATCACAAGAGTGGTAAAAGGTGTTTATGGTTGAGTTGGTTCATTTTTGGGAATGAAAGAACCCAAATGTTTATTTAACTCGGGCACTTTTTACAAACTGTGTTTACACTGAAAGGATTCACGTAAGGAGAGAAAGTCAGGAGGTTAAAGTCTCATGCAAACTGTGAATGAGTGACAGAATGAGGTCAATCAAATGGGCCACAGTCTGATCAAATAAAGCTTCCTGTTTTAAAACTCAAGTCACAAAATGGCCAAACAGAATGCAGCATTAGGTTTAACTTTCCAGAAACTTAAGCGGTGCGTAGTCTTGATTTTCATCTCCGAGGATTCTCTTAAGAAATGGGGTCATTTTGAACAGATTAATATGGAAATCCCTGGAGTCAGCGTTGGACTCAATTAGACCATCAGTGGAGCCGCACAGTTCGTGGGTTCCCCAGCTGACCACCCCAACCTGTCACAAAACAGGCACAGTTAGGATGTTTGTCACATTAGTTATTATTGTTACTTTTCAGGGTAAAGTCTAAATTTAATCATTTTTCTGCTCCAGAAAACCTAAAAATCTATTCAAAGTAATACTAACCTTATTTTTCAAAGCAGATAAGTTTTAATTTGAAAGGTAATAATACCATTTTGAGCAGATTGACACAATTTAAAAGGAAAAATTTATAAAAATCTTAAAGTTTCTGTTTACCTGAATCGTTCGAAGCTCGTAGTTCTTGAACACAGCGCCTCCAGAATCACCTGTTGTGACAAATGTGTGTGTGGTTTGTTAAACAGCTACTTTGCTGTTTATTTGTAAGTGAATAAAATGTAAATTGTGACAAACTGAACATACCTGTACAAGCTATATGATCTCTGTGATCTGTGAGACCACCGGTGCACAGGAAGTTATCCGTCACAGCAACCTTTGGATCTTTTGTTGTTATGCCTGGTGCGTTCAGGGCTTTTTCAATGCATAAATTTCTCTGAATTAGATTAAAAAAACATCGATAAAGAAGGGAAAAAGGACACTCTGGTTGGATGAAAAAGGCAAGCAGACAAATAAACTCCGTGGTATGAAACTCACATTTTCTCCAAGTTTGGCGAACACGTCTTTTTCAGCCACTAAGGGGTCTTTCCTTGTTAGAAAATTGAGTCGTTCACGTTGATTCTTTAATAGAAGCTCCTCTGTTGACGGAGAACACAACACACACCTTCATAAAACTGGCAGAATAAAATAACGTTTCTACCATCTGTTTAGTTTTGAAGGGTTAGAAAAAAAGCAGCTAAACTATGTTGTAGAACTGTCAGTGGATTATTTATTGATTTCTTACTTTTTTCTAAAAACAAGCCTGTTTAGTATTTTTGCAGCTCATTCTGTATAAAAATACCATACCCTGTTGTTTGCACGTTGATTTACCCACCAGCTTCATAGCATCGCTGGTCTCCTGAGTGCATGGTATGCAGATTGGTCTGGCAAAAACAAAAGAACAGGTTTTCCAATTAGGAGAGTAAAGTGTTACAATAACAAATCTTTAAACCAGAATGAGAATATAAAAGGTGGTTCGTGTACAAACTGCATTATTTAATAATTATAAGCTCTTACCTTATAGAAACAGATATTTCAATGGGATTCGACAGCTGGATGAGAGCCAAGTCATAGTCATAAAACTCCTCCACACCTTGGTTTACTTTGGCGTGGATCTTGTAGTTTGGATGTAAGGTGAAATTTTTAACACTTCTCTCTGCATAAAGATAACAGTATAAAGTCGAGTAAAAAGTTCAAATGTTATCAGTGAACTTGTGGTTTTACTTTTTAAACTCTAAAAATCATAGTTTTAAACTTAGACGTGAGGTTCTGTGCAGAGATATGGACAAAAAATATCTTACCTGTTGTAAATAGAGTTTTTTTTTTTTTTTGGTTGACCGCAGTTCGGAGAAAAGACCTTCAAGTACAGTTTCTACATCACAAGGCTATAGTTCCCAATCCATAATCTCGCCAATAGACCTGCATTTTTGTTTTAGTACAAGTTTTACACAGGATGCCTTTCCTGATGCTACCTTCACCATTTATCTGTGTTTATGACCAGCACACAGAAAAATGTCCTTCCAGTCACTGGTTTAGCTGTTAGGTCTTTGGTCTGATCCAAACTGATTTATGTCTTCAAACATTAGCAGCTGCTTGCAACAGGTAAGATATTAACTCTTCATAACCTTTCCAGAGAACCTCACCTAAATAATTTTAAACCATTGCTTTCCAAATGTCATTTACCCAAATTAAAGACTCTATAACACATAAAGTCATGTTCAAGTGAGTAAAGAGAAGATGATCAGTACCTCTTCTGCCCGTTTTTTCATCTTCAATTTCAATAATGATGTCCTTAGGTAAATCTCCGTATGTGAAACAGTGAGCAGCAGTCAAGACAAAGTCAGGGGACACCAGAGAGCCGATGCACTTCTTTGATTTTTTCCCCTGAATTTAAAAAGAAACACAAACATTATGGGTCAGTACTGTTCCACGGTAATAACTTCAATGTTAAATGGACTGAACWTATCTTATTACCTTATATAGCASTTTATCGAGCCCCATCYGACCCCAAAGTGCTTTACCCTTACAGACATTCACACACTGATGATGTTAAGCTACATTGTAGCCACAGCTGCCCTTGGGCACACTGACAGAGGTGGGGCTGCCATGCACCGGAGCCACCGAACCCTCTGACCATCATCAGTAGGAGAGGTGGGTGAAGTGTTTTGCAAGGACACGGTGAGACAGCTGGAACAGGGGTTCAAACCAGCAACCCTCCAGTTAGAGGACAACTCCCCTAAACACTCCACCACAGCCGCCCCAGTCTCTTTGTTTAGAGTGACTGAAAACGAATCAACAGTGGTGACGTTCCTTTTGGGATGAAGATGTTTGACAGTTTTGATATAACATGTTTTTACTCTCAGATTTGTGCAGATGAATAGACCAAAATCAAGTACGATAGGTTGCCTTCAAGCCCAGGCCACCCTTGCAAAAGAGATCAGCGATTTCAATGGGATTTATTTGCCTTGTTAAATCTTGATTGAAAAATAAAAAAGRTACAGTAATTATGATGATTTTTGACACGATTTTCCCCATCTGACAATCATAAGAACACCCCAGTTATTGTGATAGCTCTAAATCTAATGAGACATTCCTGCTGTTGGTGTTGTTATCTAGTTGACACAAAAGGACGTCTGGACCACTCTGACATCAAATCAGGGATATTCAACTACGGTAGTTGGATTGTCTTGGCCCAGTTCTTGTATTGATGACAGGAGATTTGGACCACTGTTAAAAGTCTTCTCCAGCATAACGATTCTCATTGTAGTTCAGTTCTGGACTCTGATGTCTGATACTCCCTGAACCAGCCTGCTCTTACTATTTTCTTAGTTAAATTCAGGTATTGACCTTTTGTGTATGTTTCTTAGGATTAACAACAATTTCAGATTAATTGAAAACTCATAACAAATACTTTACAAATGAGATGAGTTGAGAATTTCACCTTGTTAATAATAAAAGCCAACCAAGGATATCTTTTCCGCCTGTTCGTTTTGTCCGGTGTTATTTCATAGTCTTGGTGAAGACCGCACAGACCTACGACTTCACTTTCATCTGCATCAGAAACCAAGAAAACAAAATGTAGGAGGGTTAGAAACATCCAGCTGACTATTACTTATGCTCATGAATGCAAACATTTATCTCTGTATCACTTTGCTGAAACAGAATTTAACTTCCAGTTCGGGCTCTGTGTCTTGAGCCCATTAGGTTAAATTAAATTACGCTGCACTGGTCCAGTGAGGTGCTTCATCATCGTCCTTTTACATCAGTAATATCAGGCGAGATCAAGAGTGATGAGTCTGCCTTCCTCCAAACTATTATAAGAAACAAGAGAAGGCCTCCAGCAGTGATCACACATCTTCCCCTGAGCTGAGTGAGGGATTACCAGAATGACCCATAACTTACAAAAACACCACAAACGATGAAGGAATCACACATTTTATGTTTTCAAGATGACTTACCAATTATACCATCAAAGGTCGCTTGTAACTCTTTGATATCTTTCATCCTGAAGTAATGAGAACCACCAGTTCCCACCGTTAGAGGCTGCAGGTCATCATCGAAAAGGTCAGCCCCGATGGCAAAAATGTAAATATCTGCAAATGAATGCAGACAGAAAGGTTTTCTTTGACAGGTTAACAGTCTGTGAGCTTTAAAAAATAAATACATGATGGCTCATCACATCAGAAGAAATCTGCACTCATAAAAAAAAGAACTCACCAAGATATTCATCTCTGGAGCCAACATTGGCCATGTCATTCATGTAGACCATGTTCTTTATTCTCTCCACAGTGGGTCTAGGAGAGCCGCCCATGTTGTAAGCACCTGAAGGGAAGAAAAATGGTGTTAATCCATTTTAAAAACTTTTTAATTTAGACCATACACATTAACCATTTAATTATATTATCTATTATACTTGTATTATCTATGGAAATAAAACATGACTTTTATGAGATCAACTTCAATCAGTGAAACTGACAAGAAGTGTTTTTAAAGCAAACCAGTAAAGCAATAGTTCTGATCTTGTCAAGTGGGGTTGTTTACCTGTTGATAGTTCTTTGAATGAGCTTGATTTGATAAAAATAAAGTAGACTGTTTCCAGCTTAATGAGATAGTCTGATGATTTTTGAAGCAATGCTCTTTCAAATAGTTATCAATAGTTAGTACAGACWGAGCATCCTTTCCAAAAATGTCAAAACACTGAACTGTCCTTTTACATTCTCAATAATCCATGTAGAAAACGAGGTTGAGTCAGGTCCTCTGGACGAGTTCTGGACAGGTTCAAAACACTTCTGCAGTCTGAGGACCTTTGTAGAGAATGTGCCTGTTGTTAAACAGGGATAGAGACCTTTGTGTCCAGTTGTTCCACTCTTACAGTACTGCTTTTTGAGAATCAATCAGCCCTCTGTGAAGAACAGGAGACCATCAGTCTAACGATCGGCTGTTAGGCTGATGGTCCTTTTCGGCATGTGAGCAATCAATTTCAGATGTCTCTGATAGGACGTCATTGTGGTATACCTCGATATGGAAATATGGTGACAGTATTTAAAATTTATGATAGTATACCAACTCTCTGGAGCCTACATGATCTATTTAAAATGTTCTTGTCAGAAAGACACGGCCTCTCTGAATCTCTGTTTCAATTAGGCTCAGGGTTACACATACTGTAGACAGTGGCTCTGAGCATATATTGGGTTTTAGATTTGAAGAATAAAACGTTTTACCTGATAATGGAACTTGGTTTTCTGCACAATTATTTGGGCATCCAATTTTTGAACACTTTCTTACAGATTACCACCATCAGTGTATGAATGGGTGAATGATTGAAGTGTAAATTGCTTTGGAGTCCATTGGAGCTTGATAAAGTGCCATTTACCATTTATGTTGATTTGAAATAGATCAAAACCAGACAAAGTAGTTGATCCACTATGCAAAGGTCCTGTTTATATGGCTGAGTTTACCTGTAACTCCTCAGACTGAAGAAGTCTTTTAGATAAAAGACAAAATGTAACAAAGAACCCGTCCAGAGGACGTGACTCAACCTTGTTGGATCTGAATTGTCATTTGAACAAAGCAGAAGGGGAAAATTACCATCTGTAAACATGATCAGGACGTGGCGGTGTTCCTTAAAAGCCTCGGGTTTGACTCGATCCCTTATATAAGCCATCTCTCCCTCAAATTTTACGAAGGCAGCGTTTAGATCCGTTCCGGTGTTTTTGTCTTCAAATCAAATCACAAGCAGACACGTCACACAATCAGATGAAAACCCAAGCTCCTGCATGTGTAAAACCAGCTGCTGTTTGTTTTTCCAGACTCACCGCCAACTTCAAAATCCTCCAGCCTCTTTATGGCGTCCTTCAGTTCTATGTTACCGTCCAAGAAATCAGGAATTTTGACYACTTCATATATTTCAGAGGAGAAAAAGATGATTTCGTAGTTTGGCGACACGCTGAATGATGCGATCTGTGAAAGCAGATGAGGATGGTACGACATGAACTCCTGACACTTTGGGAACACATGTAAACYTAGAATTGTTGTGAAACGCTTCATTAATGCAACACATCTTACATTTCAAATTGCTTATGGTTGTTATTTTGTTGAGTTATTGATCCATTTATCAGCAGAAGCGTGGGTTTGGGAGCGAGCCAAGGACTCACGCCAAGAACCATCAGTCAAGAATATGATTTGTAATTCCTAATTTAATTTGCATCTAATGGGCTGCTGTTCTGGCAGCAGAGAGAAAGTGGGTGCATATTATCTGTACGGTGTGCAAATGTGCCTGTAAAAGTGTGTCAGACAATGTAAGAAACCTTATGCATTATTTAAGAGTGTTTTATGGTTCACATTCAGGATGTGTGAGGAGGATAAACGTGTAAATATATATTTTTTCTATTATTTTTAGTGTATGTGTGTAACTGATTTCCTCAGATTTTTTTAACTGCTAAATTTTAACACGTTTTTAACATCTCAGCACATTTATTGCCAGCGCCCATCAACAGCAGCCTGTAGTTTCACCTCATGTGCATCTTCAGACCCTTAAACTCAGCCCACTATCAGCAAAACCAGCAAAACTCCAGTCCAAACACCACACTGCTGATGCTTTGCAAACTCAGCAGATTGTACGGCAAKGACGGCCGGTCTCACGGTTGACCTGCCCATTAGAAAACCACATAAAACTTTTCATAAACGCTGCTGATGAAATCTACATGCTTCTGGGCTTTAACACAATTTAATAAATAGTAAAGTTGTTTCATTTGGTTGAACCTACATGCCTGCAGCTGCGTGCTTCAGCAGTAATGGCTCCAAGCCTCCTAAAGTTTGTCTTTACAAGCAGCTGGCTACATTTGCCATCGAGGATTATTGTTCAGTCTTCAACCTCTCTAAGATTTGTTTCAGAAGTAGATAAGAAGTAGAAAGTCATTTTGCTCCTAATTCATTTGCTTGTTTTCATTCAGGCTTGTTATTGTGAAAAACGTCTATCCAGATATATACCACCTCCTTGATAGAGTGAAATAATTGTGGCTGAATGAGAAGTATAAAAAATACATTTTTTTATTGTTAGCGATCCATAACATAACGCAAATCAAGTCCCACACCAGCATAAACATAAACTTCTTAATATAACTTTATAATCATTATGGCCTTTAGAATAATATGTTTCGGGGTGGTCATCTCCAAATAAACGTCATTTTGGACATTTTAACTGCTCATGTTTACCCATTGTATTTTTAGTACTTAAGTACGTTTTATATCAGATATTTACTTTTGATATTTAAGTAGAGTAAATGTCAAATAATTTAAGACTTTTACTTTGGTAATATTCTTATGCTGCAATCACACCGAACGCGATTTCAGCTTCAAAATCGCAGCCAACGCTGAAGCTGGTCGCTTGTGCACTTTGAGGTCAGACGCAGGACAGCTCTTGAGGCGCTGCACGGCAACAGCCTCCCCGCCCCTCCCTCCTCTGTCGGGCTCTGTTTAATGTCGGACGAGGAAGTGGCTTTGCTTTATTTACAGAGAGCAAGAGCATGTCACGTTCATCAGATAATTAATTCATAATTAATTCACCAGATAATTCAGAGACATTCTGAGTTTCATCACCCAGGAGCTGCGGGAGAGGCTCACAGCTCGCTTTCAGGACTATTTTTGTCCCGAGTCCAGTCTGATGAGCTGCTGCCACGCATTGGTGAGGATATCTCCTGTCAGGACACCGACTGCAGGTACTCGATTTCAGCTAAAGAGCTCCTCTCCATCTGTTTCAGGTTAGTGGACATCATTCAGTAAACTGTCCCGTCAGGAAATATGTCGCTGCGTCACACAGTGGAGTCTCTCTGATTGGTTGACGCGGCGCGTCGAGCTGCAAAAGTTCAGATTTTCTAACTTCAGCAATTTGAGCATTAAGCACATCGAATGCTCAGATTGTTCAAATAGTTCAAATCGCGCTGCTCTAATCGCGCTTGAGGCGCCGCAGCACTTCCCGACGTTGCTTGAAGCGCGCCCACCATAGACTTTGCGTGAAAACCTGATGCTCCTGATGCTGAAATCACGTTCGGTGTGAACGCAGTTTTAGAGAAGACTTTTACCAAAAATAATTTAAGATAGTATCTCTTTGAGGTACTTTATACAACACTGCTTTTAAGGTTATTTTTATTKCAAATGTTGAATCATCAGTGAAATGGATTAGGATTATCTGTATGTATTTTTCATCGTTTGTTCTGAGGTCTGTAAAGTACTTGAAAAAAATAACTAAGTAAAAGTAAAATTACATAAACAGAAAATGACTGATAAAAATAAATTTCACTGATAAGAAAACTACTCAAGTAAAAGTCATAAAACTGTCCACAAAAATTGGGAAAGTAAAAGTATTTTTACACACTCTCTAAGGAATGAACTGTTGAATTTACTGAACAAAACTGGTTCCACTAAGCCAGGTTGAGTAAATTGAGCAATTTATGTGTATTRTTTGCTCAATTTACTTGACTACACTTGGTGGAGCCAGCTGAGATGACTTTGTTGAGTAAATTCAACACTTCATTTTTAGAGTGCAGAAACATCTTTCATGATGAGTTCAAACATATTTAATTTTGTAACGAGTAACTAGGTGTTACATTTTAAAGTAAAGAAGTAAAAGTATGATTTTTAGCTTTAAAACGTAATGAAATAAACGTAAAAGTAGCTATTTAAAATAGGTAAAATTACAAATCCTCAGAAAAACTACTAAAGTACTGTACCAGTAGTACCAGCTGTACTTGTCTCTGCTGTACTTTTTAACTCATTTTGGGTTTGATTATAAACTTTCTGTTCGATACCGTTTCTTGTCTGTCCCATGATTTGTGGTAAAGTACTCTTGCCATAACAAGGGTTGCAAAGGAGCAGAGCTTCTTCAYCACTCTCTGCCTCTTCCTGTCTTACCTTTTTAATGAGCGTTATGACTGCATTTCTCGCTTGTTTAAATTGGTCCTCGTTGATGCTCTCAGAGATGTCCACAGCGATGTAAATGTTCAGAGTCCCATTTTTTGAAATTCTAATCATTCGTCCTTCTTGTGTGTCATCTGCGAAGGAAAATTCAAATTTATTGTCAAACACAGTAAATTGTTTTGTGTTATTCTCATGGTGGGCTAACAAAAAAGTTGGCTTTCCTGACTCATATGTTCCACTAACTAAAAATATAGCTTCGCTAACATTAAACATGTAAAAAAAAAAACTCAAGGGAAGCTAGCACATCCTCATCTCCTTCCAGCTGGAGACTGGTGGGACTGACACAAACCTGTTGATGTTTACCTGTTAATGAACTTAGCGGAAGCTAACAAAATTGAAAACTATTTTCAAAATTAGTGAAAAAGCTAATCCAAGAAAAATTTGTTTAACTGCTAGCTGAACTGTGTTATGGCAGCAATCATCACATAACAATAATGACCGTACATAATCTACAAATTACTACATAAAGCTTACTGAGAGACTCCATGGTGGTGAGGCTGTCTTTGATTGCACCTCCAAATGCTTCTGACACTTCCAGTACCGTGTCATACGTGTGTTTGTCTGCAAGGAGTAACCAAAACACAGAAGTGAACAAGATTCGTAGCTTGTGTCATTTAGAAAAAGAAGTCACAGAAAACACACCTTTCCACCCCTGAAAGTCACTGTAACAGACTGCTTGTAATCTGCACAATTTATGTTGCGTGAAATTACTAATGATGTAAAGATTTAAAGGGATCTATGATTATTTGTAACATTAGATTTTATTTGATAAACATATATTTTAACTGTAAAATAAAGACTGTAAAAATACTGTAGGCTGATTAGTTTTTATAATTTTTTAAACTAAAAGCTTAAAAATATATTACATGGACAGGGCCATTTTATTTACAGTACATGCAAAGTATTGTAGGTAAATGATGACGTGGAGAGGTCCTCGGTGTGAGCAAGCTACGTATATCCACCCTGAAGGTTAATCTTGGACAATATCTGATGATCGACTCTTTTTAATGAAACCAGAGAGCGTTGACAGAGAGGAGAAGGTAGAAATGACAGTCTGTAACTGAAAAAATGGATGGAGGACAGCAGAGCTGCTTCATGGAAGAAGAACCGCAGCTTAGCCTGTTAGATTTAGCATTAGCCCCAACGCTGTCACCATAAATATGTATTAGCTCAGCGCTACACATTCTCCTCTCGTCACTGAGGTCCTCCATCCACATGACAGAGAGGGGAACGCAAAAKTGACTCAGGTTGCAACTGAAAATATGGATGGAGGACCTCAGTTTGGCTTGTTAGTTTGTCACGCTAGCACCGAGCTAATACATATAAAGCAACGTCAGCAGCGTCAGCGCTAGCACAAAGGCTAACAGGCTAAGCTGAGGTTCTTCTTCCATGAAGCAGCTCTGTTGTCCTCCATCCATATTTTCAGTTCCAGGCTGAGTCATTTCTACCTTCTCCTCTCTGTCAACGCTCTCTGGTTTCATTTAAAAGAGTCGATCATCAGATATTGTCCAAGATTAACCTTCAGGGTGGATATAGTTCGCTCACACCGAGGACCTATCCACATCAACATTTACCCAGAATGCTTTGTGTGTAAATAAAATGGCTCCGTCCATGTTAAAATTTTCTTCTAAAAATTTACAAAACTAAACAGCCTGCAGTATTTTTWCAGTCTTTATTTTACAGTTAAAATATATGTTTATCAAATAAAGTCTAATGTTACAACTAATCGGGGATCCCTTTAAGCATTTGCATAAAATATGAATTTTTTTGAGACTGCAACAATATGGTTTTCCTTGGCACTGAGAGAACTAGCCATTTGTCCATTAATTCATCAAGTCAGTTTCTCCAAAGTCAAGTTGTTCATACAGATGAGTTCCTTATTGTCAATGACTGTTTCCACTGAACATCACAATAAAAGGTCTGGACTTTTAAGCCCTGAAAAAAAAATCAAAGTCAATTCAAAGAGTTGCTTCCTGATCTGTGAGTTTTTTGTTTTTCTTCTGGCCTTTCCTGTATGAAGGGGTCACCACAGTGAGGGAAAACATATGAGGAATTTGGCAACAGTTTTACACATTTTACACATTTACATGATTTCCCTTCATGTCACAACCTGGATTTGAACCTGCAGCCTCAGGACTTAAAGACTAAAGCACAGACCACCGACATATCACAGTCCCCTTGTTCTTACTGATTAGCAACACGGTTAATTGGGTTTATGGTAGTTTAAACACTTAGGAAGGTGTCAAACAAACAAAAAAAATCAATTCTAAAATTTGACTCTTGTCTCACACAGCTGATCAAGGCAAGTGAGGGTAGGTTACAAATAAATCAAACATTCAAACTATGGAGCAAAGCTGGAGGAGACACGGAGACATTAAGGAGACACAAAGAAGACATGAAGGAGACAAAGAAGATATGAAGGAGATGACGGAGATATGAAGGAGACTCAGAGGAGATTTGAAGGAGACATAAAGGCGATTTGAAGGACCCATAAAGAAGACACCAAGGAGACAGGAAGGAGATATTAAGGAGACACAAAGAAGAGTCAAAGGAGACATTGAGAGAGCATGAAGGTGACACAAAAAAGACGTGAATGTTTGCTGCAGCGCCCTCTGCACCCCTTGTTCCCACAGCCTTGGCTGCACCAAACCATTTTAGCAGTGGTTATAAAGACACAGTGAACATCACAGAAAAAGATAAAATATTTTAAAGGAAGAATGGGAATGTTGTTCATTGTTTCACAGCTTCATGTGTTGATAATCCCTGATTTAATCACTAATCTGACTCCCTGAACCAGTCCACTGACATGCAGTGACTTTCAGTAACTTTGGTCAAACAGGGCTTCAAGTAGAATGATTGTTGTTTGTGTGATCAAATGACAAAACATTCAGTCATCAATGAAGGTCTTGTTCTCACAGTAGCACGCCGGCTCTTGGCCCGTCCACTGGCCYTTCTCCTGACACGTTCTTTCTTTAGAGCCCACCAGAAACAGGTTGCCGGTGCACCTATAATGCACTTTGTCGTCAATCCCAAATAAGTTTCCTGTTCTGGAGGCGCCAGGCGGGATTCCAGGATCAGCACAGACATCTCCAGCTGTGGCAAGAGAAGAATGC